AAAAAAAAATAGAAGTATAGGTTCTACTTTGCCAAAACTCTATATAAAGTTTTACCGATGCTCAGGAAGTAGAAGCTGTGAATTGGCTGCGATTCCCTCTGTACAGCATAGCTTTGCTCAGAGACCCCCATGCCACTGTATTTACTCTTCAATCTGGAGTACAGCAAGCTGCTCACATGGGGGTGACTAAAATGCAAGTAAACATGGTACCTTGAAAAACAAGCTCGAGTTTGTAAAGCTGTAAATATGTGACATCTTAAACACATTTTAAAGTATTATAAGAAAAGTTAGCTTTCAGTGAGTGATGGGTAATAATTCCAGTTTTTCTACAGAACAATAATTAAACAAAAAATGATTTTATAGACTAAGTCATGCATAATGCAATGTTAAAAAAATGAAAAAGCAATCTGGAAGGTTAATAGAGGGACAGAAACTAAAGTGTGATGTTCATGTCTCACAATGACCAATACTTACACCTGAGTTGGAAATAGCAGCGTTCACAGAAGGGCTTCCTGTTTCGGATTTGAACCTGGGCTCCATTCTCTCTTCCTCCGAGATGTTGACGGCAGCCCACGCACTGAGGGGAGGACGGGGAAGTGAGAAAGGATTCAGGGACCATCTAAGACAAATCTAGCCGAGCTGTGACGTGGGTCTTTAGCGTCTAAATTATTTCACCAGACGGTCCGCCACCCGAGCACAGGATAACCAAGCTTTGTTTTGCGTAAAAACCCCACAGCATATAAATATCACAACAAGTGTGATGTGCATCTGTGACTTACAGGGAGGCAGAAGTGAAATTGCTTTTACATCTACATGCTAATGAACCAAGGCCAGCTAAATCTAGGGGTCCCCTGCCAGTGAGACTTTCACAGCAAGGATCTAAAAGCAAAGCAGGACAGCAGGTTGGCTTCTTCCACTATGCGCATAATAAGTAACTGAGAAAATAATGACAAACATAACAGTGGGCTTGACCACCACCCCCAGAAGCTTCACAGACAAAGAGACAGACTGGCTAATGAAAATAGATTCATGAAAGTGATAGAAACACTCCTCCTAGCAGATGCAAACTGATAACTATGATTGGAAAACAGACCACAGACATGAGACTCCTGCCAACCTCACAAAGCAAGTTGCAGTCACATTAGTCTCAACCCTAAAATTTTGTTCAGAATTAACCCCCAAAACACATACAGGGTTCAGTTATACTGGGTGTATGTTTTTCTTCTCTGAATTTTTTATTTTAACTGGGACCTGTTATGTTAAGTAGTGCGCAAGAATAAAAACTGAAAATTGGAGTAGAACTGAAAATTTGCGTAAGTCATGTACATATTAGGCCTCTGCATAAAACACGTCATTTTAGCGCCTCTCCCTTTAAATCAACTTTCTTCTGATAGGCTGTCCCTCGCAAACAGATTCAAACAGCAGATGGGTGTGGCTTCTGTTAAGCCAGAGCTGTGTGCTTGATATCACCATATTAAGATATACCTTAATATCTATCATCTATCTATCATCTATCTATCATCTATCTATCATCTATCTATCATCTATCTATCATCTATCTATCATATAGATGATAGATACCCAGATGAGATCATAGATTAGAAAAAAAGGGGTCATAAATCTAAAGTTTAGAGGAGTCTGAGCATTTAGCTCACAGGGATAACTTGCACATGTATGCATATCTAAGTCCGAAACTTTACCTCTTTAGAAAAATATAAAATAAAATATGTGCATCTACCATAGGGCAGAAAATAAGAAAAAAATTAAAATAGATCCACTACTGTGGTGGAAATCCTACACTCCGGCAGTATTGAACTTTAAAGTTCCAAAATTATGAGAACTTTGGTCAACACATAAGAAATCAGGACCAAGTCTCTTGTCTTGCAGGGGCAGCTTTCTTGTCTCTTGCCTACAGATTCTGCAGCATTGTATGCAGATTCACAGAAATTATTGCTAATAAGTCATCATGTGTTTTGTGCATCATTTGCCGTTTCCATTTTGTTGTTGCGTTCAGAGTTTAAGTGACTGAACTATAAGAAAATAAGTCCCGTGTTTCTATTGGCCAACCACGAACTCTGATCACATTTTAACTATAAAAAACTGAAGGACCTCATGTCAAAAATGGAATAGTTTCCTTAGAGATGAGGAGCAGTTGCAGCTATTTGCAGGTATTGGAGCTATTGTGACTGCACCTTAACCCAGGTAAACCCTCTCACCTGAAAACAGCCAAGGTGGAAGTAGAGACTAAGGGCCTCTATGACCATAGCTGGTCTACTACCAAGGATACGCCCACAGACAGAGCAATTCCTCCTGCCATTGACCATCCTGGGGCAGGCAAATGGTAACCAAGTAAGGCCAAAAATGTCTGTAAAGACCTTTTTTTTTTTTTAAGTACATGTACAAGAGATGAAAGCTTGTAGTTTACATAGATGTGTACCTGGCCTGATGACAGGACTGTATGTAAGGATTTCTCAGGGATAATACTGATCCAGTGCTGTATCGCGAAGAGGCATTCCTACTCGGTGTAACGTAACCTGCAGCAGCCGAGTGTGGTCGAGGGTAACTATAGATTGAGGATTGGGGCTGACGCAAATTATCAAGATTATCCAGAGAGTCATATCTGCAGGTAAGAAATCACAGTAGTAGAAGAACAATTGGAAACACACGGACTGAAAAACAGGCCATTGGGCAATGAGTCCAATCTTAAATGCAGCTTGGCTGAGGTCTCACCTTTTCAGAGGAAGCCCAACAATCATGGGATCCTTGTAAAAGCTGCTGCTGCGCTGACGTATCCAGCTGTTGTCAGTCAGAAGCTGAGTCCTTTTCTTCATCTCCTCTAAAATCTGCTGCCTTTCTTTCTCAGCCTTGGCCACAGACAGTCCTTTTCTTTTACTCTGATCCCCTGAACAAAAGCACGTTGAACGGGTTAGAGAAGTACATCTCCAACACAGAAATGGATAATATAAGAGGAAGAGCTAAACTCACCTCTAGAATACTTGTGAGGCCCAGCTAATACTGGGGAAGACAAGGACTTTGTCCTATGGGAACAAGAAAGTCTGCATTATTCAACCCTGAGAGCAATTTTTAATTCAAGTCCACAATATTTTGATGTGATTTTCTTTTATTTCTTTTAAGAAATTGTGCTTTGAGTCATAAATCAAGCATTTGTTAAAAGTGTTTTTCTCTAAAAGAAAAAACAAACAATTATCTACTTTTATAATAGCTTAATTTACAAAAATCACTGAAGTGGTGTGCAAAACCTGGACCTGCGTGACTAAAACTACAAATACAGTGGAAATTGGACCAGGCTTGATCTGACCTGTGTGCAGGGGACAGCTGAGCAAAGCCACATGAGCCATCAGCCCTTAGGTACAGCATTAGCAGAAATAAGGCCCAGCAAAAGCAACAGGAGGCACAGCAGAAACAGCAGTGATGATGATTAAAAAATGCTTTAGAACGTTTTGCTGATGAGACTCTTTGTAATAAACATGCTCTTTGTACCACATGGATAAGAGCAGCATTAAGAAAGAAGCAAAGCTTTATTTACCAGTCTTGTTGGGCAACCATCTCATTCTGCACTTCGTGTGCATTACTTTGCCGTTTTGGCCCCAACAACTCTTTCAGCTTTTCTCCATCAGTGCTCTGCTCTTCTTCTCTGGTTTTCTTCGGCATTGCATTCTCTTGCTGCTGGGTCCTGGCGAGGCCCACATCACCAGAGGTCACCTCAAAGGTTTTCTGGCTCTGAAACATGAATATTGTACGTGTAGAGTATTTAGAAAAAGAAAAACAATATAACACTGATAAAAGTGAGCAAAATAATTCAGTGCGGTGTCAGTGTCAGAGCTGCTGACTGAAAATGCAACATTATAGTGTAACCAGTGTAATCTCAAAATGTAGTAAAATGTCATACATTAGGATCTTTAAAAAAAAAAACTTCCCTTCTTTGGTGCCTTATTAAGGAAAAAACTATTATAAAAACTGCTGTAAAATGACAGCGACATTACCCCCGACTTCTTGGGGTCTATTACATCCCGTTGGTCTCTTCGCCACTCTGCCTCCAGCCTCTCCTGGTCCCGCTGATATTTCTCCTAAAAACAAATCCAAAAACACCAGAGCACTTTAATAAAATTGAACTGAACTTCAAGCATATGCTCCTTAGTTCTGTTTGAAAGAGGCTTCACCTGTAGGAGGCGCTCCTGTTCTTCCTGCCACTTCTCCTGTCTCCTGCGATCCTCCTCAAGGTCCCAAGACCAGCTGGATGAGGGGGGGCTGAGCGATGGCACCTGGAGCTGGTGATGCACAGACAGACTGTAAGTTCAAACGTGATCACACTGCAGTACATCAACTCTTTAAACACATGCAGGTGACATATTTCTGACTGTGCACATCCTTTAATCAAATAGTACAGAAACTTACATCAGATATCGCAGATTCTGACCCTCCTGTGAGAGAGAATAATAGTTTAGGACCTGTTTAGTGTTTTGTTTTTTCCTAGAGTAGAGTAGCATCATGCAGGTCTAAACAGATGCAATTACTGGGGACACATTAGAAGATTAAGGAAGACTGGAGAAAAATGTAGTGGATATTTGATTTTGTTCCTGCTTCAGTCAGGAAAGCTCTGCTAGAGGCCTTCATCTGGCCAATCCCAGACAAGCCATATAAAAAAAAATAAAAAAAAATGACCCAAACCGGTCACTGAAGACTTACCAGTAGGACTGAATTAAACACTTCTCACCACTCATTCAGGATCATCACTCTCCAATGATCAGGGCCAACATGCCGACAGTTTATCAAAATTCAGCACACTATTCTGCTAATGTATCCCCAGCTAAAGATGCCGCACTGCAAATTCTGAAAAAGAAGCTGCAGAACAAAGCCTCAAGAACTTGTAAATGCAAGAAAGGTATCACAGTGTGCGGTAAAGCAAGCACAAATTTGCTGTGTTTGCTTGATGATGCAGCATGACACACAGTGGGTCTTTAGCATCGCAACAGCAGCTACACACAGTGCAAATATTTACCACATAAGTACACCCACGAGCTGAATCCTGCACAGCCTGAAGAGAAAAGCCATCGTAGGACACACAGAATCATCAACAACCACAAAGGACAGCAGAGGATATCAGTCTTCGTGCCAGAAAGTTACTGATCAAACAATGAAAACAACATAAAGAACCGTTGCACACAGTGGGCTCTTCTCATTTCTCTGTTTTGTGCCTCCTCATCTCCTCCGCCTCCTGTCTGTAACCTGGAAATCAATTCCAGTGTGTCATTATTTAGGGATGCCTTAATTTCCAAAATGCATCTCAAGGAGAGAGGAGCCAGGAGAGAGGTTGCAGGTTGCTGAAGGGACATATGAGTGAGGAAGTACTCTCGATATATTTAAAAGAACCATCATGATGTACCATGGGTGGCTGTAGCTCAGGTGGCAGAGCAGGTCAGCCACTGACCAGAAGGTCGGTGGTTTGATCCCAGGCTGCCTCCTGGCTGCATGACAAATATCTTTGGCCAAGATACTAACCCCGTGTTTGCCTACTGGTCGTGGTCAGAGGGCCTGGTGGCGCCAGTGTCCGGCAGCCTCGCCTCTGTCAGTGCACCCCAGGGCAGCTGTGGCTACAATGTAGCTTGCCGTCACCAGTGTGTGAATGTGTGTGTGAATGGGTGAATGACTGAATGTAGTGCAAAGCGCTTTGGGGTCCTTAAGGACTGAGTAAAGCGCTATACAAATGCAGGCCATTTACCATTGGTATATGATTAAAGTATAGAAGCTGCCATAAAATATAATGGTAAGCTTAAACAAAACAGACATCACATAGTTATATGAGGGGGGGGGGTTAAAAAAAAAGTTTAAAAACTTTCATAGGACTACATACAGACCTATAAAAAAACTAGGAAAAGGTCAGCAGCAGCAGATGTTGGTGATCAACTGCACTTGTTTGACGGATAACCAGCACGTGTGAGCACCTTTACAGAAGCAGAAGTTTTGGCAGTTTGCAGGTCTGGAGCACTGAAGTGTGCTAACACAATGCCATCATTTTCCCAGAAGTGAACATCCCAGTGACTTCACCCCAAGGTCAGACCGTGCAATGCTCCGAGAAAATGCAAAAAGCCCAAGAGATGCATCTTCAGACTCTACAGGAGCTGCCAGGAGAAATGCTCTCCTCTCTACGAGCACAGCTTCCAAAGGTTTGCAAAGCTGCATCTGAACAAAGCGCACGATTTGTGGAACAATGTCTTTTGGACAGACAAGACCAAAGTGGAGATGTCTGGCAACAATGCACAGTGTAACATTTGGTGAAAACCAAACGCATGAAAACACACAAGCACATCAGCACAGAAGGATGGCGTGCTGGTCTTGTTTTTCAACCACGGGAGCTGAGCACCTCGCAGTCAACGAGTTCACTCAACTCTTCTAGAGTCAAATATGAGACCACGGCCAAAGAAGTGTTGCAAAGGCCCGGTCAAAGTCCAGATCTTAACTTGATTGAGAGGCTGTGGTCAGACCTTGAGGGACCTCTGCATAAACGAATGCCTTCATACTTAAGTGAACTGAACCAATGTTCATCCACAATGATTTGAGAGACCAATATCATCCCCAAAACGATGAATTCAAGTTTTTGCTGCTTAAGATGATTCTAAGCTACTGAATCATGGGGCTTTCCACAGGACTTTATGCGGTCCTGGAAAACCTGTTACATAACTATTCATCTGCAATGACTTCAAGATGATGGCTGCAAAGCTGCATCATTGTCATTTTGTTAAATGCCTCAAATTCCTGACCCCTTCCTGCACCTGATAGGAACTAAGAGGAAATCAATGCAAAAACTGAGAAATGAGAGGAGATCATCTTAATATAGGCTTATATTCATTGTGGTCTCTATATTTTGGACATGATCAGTGCCGTATCTCTGTGGCTGTTTGGTTAAAATTGGCCAATCACTGTGAAAAGCAGTACAGTCTGCGCCCCTGCCCTCAGTTCTTCTGCGATTTTTCATGAACAAACTGTACAACGAACAGCAATTTATAGAAATCCTTTAATAGCTGATTTACTTTGGTGTAATTTGTGGTTACGCTGCTCTGATTAAAGCACTGCTATAAAGTATAATAGACTGATGTTATCACAGTGGTTATCTAGTAAAAGGCAATCAGCTAATCACCATGCATCTTTTGATTCCTTATAAATTAGCATCTCCTAAATATTCTTTTAAAAAAAACCAAAAAACAAGCATACTAAAAATGCGTATTTAATTCTAATGACAATTCAAACCAAGCCAAGCACCAGCCACCGAAGCCGCTTCACATGAAGTTCAAACTGCCATTTTACCTTGCTGCCTGAAAAATTCTGCCCTCCTTTTCTGATTTTTTCTAATAATAGTACTACAATCTACATGAAGAGGAAGGGTGGACAAAGTGAGAAATTACACATATTACACCCGAGTTATTTTTAGAGGAAGTGTTTTTTTAAAATATCACTGCGATTACACACTTTATGCTTGGTGTTACCTTTATTTCTGGTTGTCCCATGTGTCTCACAAAGTTCTCCACCCATGACTTTACCCTGCATCACCTATGCAGGTGAAAAGAAAAAAAAAAAAAGACACCACAAACTATAAGAAGAGCTTTGATCATTTTTTTTTTAAATTGCTGTGATAGCTGCTAAAATAGTGCTCACGTTGTCTGTGTGCCCATTGCTTTTGAACCCTTGTGTGACTTGTGTGTCTGGAAAGGCAGCACTGTTGGCATGGTGATCAGGGCACCCTATCAGGACAGGCGAAGAAGCAGCAGTCAGATTGAGGGTCACCCTGCTCTGGCCTGGCTGGCTGTGATGAGTCCCCTCGCCGGTGCTCCAATCTAATTAAAAACAACTAGCCATCAACTCTAAGACCACGCTAATAATTTCAGGAAGTGGTAAAACAGAGCCGCTTTTACTCAATATCCTACCCTTGTTGCCATAGCGCCGAATGTCCATGGTCAAACTGCCGGTTTGCAGGGCAGATGACATTTTATCCCTCCACTGGTCGTAGTTCATGTGTGCCACCGCAGCTCCATCGACGGTCACGATCTCGTCGTCGACACGCAGCTGGCAGAGCTCGGCTGGACTGCCTGAGGGAAGAAATGAAGAAAGATGAAAACGAGTATGGCATAACATGAAAAACCAAAGTGCCAATTCAGAAATTATTTGCTTAGCATGAAGTGAGAAACACAGTAGGAACTGTTCCTATCTGAAAGTGGGCCACTAAGCAGCGAGTAAGTGACACCTCTCTCATGTCCAATTCATTATTCATGGTTGCGTTTTAAATCACTTTGGTAGTTTGATGCTCAGAAGCCCTCAAATACTGTAAAACTCCTAGGTTAAATTTTCTCTTCCCTATAAGTAACCGTATATATATATATATATAATTACCATGTTCAGAAAACATAATCAAAATGTAGCCGTTTTGACATCTCTCCCCCTCCACCAGAATAAAAAATAGCTTTGAAATTCTGCACTCTTCCCCTTCTGCTGCATACAATTTCCCTCATAACAAAAATCGACCCACTAACAAATTTGATGCCTTTTTAGTCTGTGACCTGAACTGTCAGTGTCATCTGTTACCGTTTTATTCTCTAAGCGCTAACCTGTGAGAGCAAATTTCCTCTATAAAAAGCAAAAAAGAAAACATCTGTCACTGACTTGTTCCTGTCTCACACAAAGATGCTAAATGTAACGTTCTGTTCTTGTGACAAAACTTCAGCACTCCAGAGTTACATTTAACAAGAGTCTTACCGGGCTGAATGAGCTTAACTCTCGCCCCCGTCGAGTCCCAGTGAGTATGGAAACCAAAGTCAGCTAGACTGTTGGGTTTAAGAGTAAGGCTCACTCTCATGTCACTGTGATCCACCTGGAAATAAATACACACACACACACACACACACACACGTGTGTAAAGGTGACACCGTGTGATCCAATGTCGAATGCTTCCTAGTGGAAATTAGAGACTTGAGTGGCCCGCTACACAAATATAGTAAGGAAGGGATAAACTGAATGACCAGTTACGGTCAGAAATGCCATATTAATGCTGCTTTAAGTTTGAAACACTGTAGTGAATGGTAATTAAAAATAAAAAAATAAATTAAAAAAATAAAAAGGGGGGGTGACCTTAGAAGTTGTCATGGCAACACCATTTAACCTTATCTAATGATATAAATGACACCAGTCTACAAGTCAAAATGTCTGAAAATAAACATTTCCCATTATTCCAAAATGTTAATTTTCTGGTCGTCACTGAGCTTATTTAATGAGAACAATCATTCATTACACCTTTCGATCCCTCTCCAAGTATCTAATTTCATGATATAAAAGACGGGTGTAGCCATCATGGCTGTTCCCTACATCCCATCAAGCCCCATTTTAAAGCCTTGGGATGAGCAGTCTCACCGTTGTTTTTTGGATAGATGCAAAGAGGAAAGTGCACAAGTGTGCAACCTGTTAAACAAGTCATTAGCCAATAATCATACCACAGATAATTCTCAATTTTTTAAACATTTTTTTCCTCCCAAGACGACCCAAAATAAGTCAAACTAATTTTGGGTCAAAAACTCTGCAGGAAACTGTTTACAGAGGTAAAGACAGAAAGCTGCTTTCCCAGACATCTATAGGACCAAAAGTCTTTCTGCAACCACAGCTTTTGCCACCTGGTGGCTTTCACATGTAATGCAGGTTTAATATGTTTCTGCATTGGCTTCATTGTCTAGTGTAAAATTGTGACCTTCCAACTTGGACAAAGATTGAGGAAACCCCCAGGAGCAGACTGTCAATGCTCTAGCTCTGGGACAGTGAAAAAACAAAACAAAAACAACAACAAAAAGAAAACCAAAGAAACAAAAGAGCCGCACACATGCAGCTGGTCAGGCCCCTGAACTAATGCACTTTGAGAGTGGAAACTGGATTTTTCCACTGAAAACTGCTGTTAGCTTTCACTGTAGCCCAGGTTCATGAAAGTCAAGTACATTTGATACAGAAGCTGATGTTTGCTCTCTGCACAAGTCTGGGGTCCATAGTGTAACTACACAATAACTGCAGGGGGTCAGAAAGTGACGTTGAGGGAGTGATTTGAAAATGGCAGCGGCTCTAGAACTGGTCCAGATCCAGCCAGTTTAAATCTGATTTTATATTATCATCCTCCTCATCCTTTATTTATCCAGGTGAAAAGTTTAATTGAGATTTAAATCTCATTTCCAAGTGAGACTTGGCCATAGGGCAGCAAACTTTTATAGGAGTTTGTTTCATTCATTTTTTCTACAGAGCAGTGGGTAATCACATAAATGCCATTGATTTGATATGATCTTACAAGTTCAAAAATACTCCAGCATACCTTTGGAAGATCTGTGCTTCCATCAGCTGAGAAGGTCAAGCCTCTATTTTGACGAGACTGCAGATTTGAATAAGGTTGAGGCAGTATCTGGCTTTGAATGGAGGGTCGATAGTAATAGCCACTGCTCTGAAAGGAGGTCTGGCTGGAAAGATTGGAGCTAGTCACTTGCTCTTCCTGTCCTGCACCAGTCTGCTTCCCCTGGTTGGTCTGATACGGACCGCTCAGCTGGGCGGTCGCAGTCTCTCTTTTCAGAGATGGTGAAGATGGAGAATCCTCTCTCTCACTGTTCAGCAGCACACCCTGATTGTCATCTACCTGGAGATGAAGAAAAACAAGATGTGCTCAGAATCTGCAGCGCTGGAATGTTAAAGTAGGGCCTTAAAAATGTGTAAAACCAGCAGATTCGTGAGAAATGTGTAATCTGGGAATGAACTCCGCAGTGCAGCAGCACTTCTTTTATTAATGAGGAAGGCAATCAAAACAAAAAGGTAACAAGTTAGCTCAAACAGTGTGCACAGACAGACAGACACATACATACACAATGCTCTCATTACACCAACTTACTTAAGCTTATTAGGCTGTCTTAACAAATCCCTGTACACCACCTCAGACACTAAAATGCAATTTAGCCAGAAAAATAACAGGCTGACTGTAAAATAATGTCAGAACGACATGTTTTTCTGTTAAGCAAAAAATTAAATAACACTTTTTTTTTTTTAAGTTTGGATTTAGACCCAAGGTTTCCTGGCATCCATGTTCATCACCATAAGCATTTTCAGCTCTTATAATTGCCCAAACATGGTTTTTAAGCTTGATCAAAAACCTGAATGAATTGCAGGTTTGACAGTGACATTGTTAATATTTAAACTGAGTCAGCTGAGGAGGAAGATGGGTGTTAGGCTGGATTAATGCAGTTAAATGGATACGGTGTGATAAAACCAATCTTTTTAAAGAGCAACAGGGCCACAGACGCAGCAACCAGTGAACTCACATTGTACATCCTGGGCAGTGATGACACTCTGGACTGCTTGGTCCCAAAGGGTCTGGCTGTGATAGCAGAAGAGAGACGGGATGAGCCCTCAGACCGACGGTAACCACGGGGAAGGCTGGCTGAGCCAGACCAGGAAACAGTTCTGGGCAAGAACTTGTAGACGCCTGGAGTCTGCGGGGCCGTGCTTTGCTCTGCTGCTGCTTGCCAAGAGGACTTCTGTCCGTCTTCCTGAGAGTTGTCGTTCTGATGCGATAAATCCTCACCAGCAGTTTTAAGCTCCGGATGAACATAAAAAAATGCTTTTCGTTCACTAGACATGGATAAAGTGGGACTTTTGTTGCTTTTAGAATTTGTGGTCTCGTTCAGCTGTAAAGCTGTAAAATGAGTGGAGATTTGGTTTGTAAGGCCATTTTGTGGCTGGGAAAGTTCACAGGTGGACTGGAAAGGAGCTGTGCTGCTCTGGGATTTCACTTGGGTTTGAGAGATCACAGGAAAGCCTAGAGAAGGCATGCCAACTCTTGCTTCATCTAAAGCCGTGGAGGCAAAGTGGATCTCCTCTCCCAAGACTTTTCCATCAGGGACAACCACTGCTCCACCCTGAGAGGAAAGGGCCAACAATGAGAACAGTTATGCCATCTGGCAATATAATAAAAACACCTAATAGGTTATAACACTTTTCACAACTCAGCTGTACTCAAGAAATTTTTTAAAATCATAAGCATTTTTAATCCCATTATTAAAACAGTGTGTGGTGCTCATTAACATCAGGGAGGTAAAACTCAATAGTGTAAACCTACTTGAGCATGGGTTGAGCTCTGGGAGCTAAGAGGAACCGTGGGGCTGAAAGGTGCCTCGGTGGCATAGCTGCGGGCCAGCAGAGCTCGAGTATGTGGCCGGAGATCAGAGCTTGATTTTGATGGAGAAGTTGTTGAGTAAGGACGAGGCGCTGTGTTCCTGGTCCAAGGTGACTGCTGGTATCTGGGGTATTAATATGCAGGGGAAGAGTAACCGAAGGATTACAGGTAGCAGAAAACATGAAGGAAGGACAGGCATCACAACTCACGAGTATATATACAGTTATAAAAAGGTACAGTGCTGTGAAACTGTATTTGACCTCTTTATTTCTTGCATATGTGAAATGTTTCATATCAAACAAATATTAATATAAGACAAATATAAGCAGAGTATGAATAAAATGAATTAAGGTTAAATGAAAAGTTATCCAAGCCTACTTGGCTCTGTGTGGAAAAAGTAGTTGCCCCCTAAATCTATTAACTGGTTGTTCCGCCCTTGACAGCAAGAACTGGAATAAAGTATTTGTGATAACTGGCAAAGGGTCCTTCACATCGCTGCCCACTCATCTTTGCAAAATAAGTTTCATTCAGTCACACTGGAGGATTTGTGTCCTGTTTAATATTGTTTAAGAATGAACTTTGACTAGGCCACTCCTAAAGCTTCATGGTTTGTTTTGGTTTTTTGAGCCATTCAGAGGTGGCCTTGCTGGTATGTCTGGATCACTGTCCTGCTGCATAACCCAAGTGGTTTTGAGTTCTGATGGTCGGACATCCTGCTTCAGGATCTTCTGGTAGAGAGCAGAATTCATGGTTCTATCAATTACAGCAAGTCATCCATGTCCTGAAGCAGCAACAGCCCAGTTCAGTGAAACTGAAATCTGCTTTCTGAAATAAATGCGATTAATCACAATTCATGATTTACTTTTTCCACACAGGGCCAGCTTTGTTATGATAGCTTTCTGCCCTTAATAAATTAAATTATTAAAAAAAAACTTTTGTGTTTATTCAGGTCATCTTTGTCTAATATTATTATTATCTGATCGATGATCTGAAACAAATAAGCCAAAGATAAATGAATAAAGAGTAAAAAAATTCTTTCATGCCACTGCAAATAGCTGTACATTAGGCATTGTTTAAAATATTTAAGAATTTATTCTTTTTAAAAACAATTGTAGCACAAACATACTTTAGTTTTGCTTCATTCTTCTCAATAGTTGTCACAGACCCGTTGATCATCTTATCCATTACATGCTCTCTGTCTTGTGATTTAGTTCGAAGTTCAGACTTTGTGCTCCTACGACGGGTTTTCCACTTTTTCAAGTCCTGAAAGAAATGCACAACATCAACCAACTACACCACTGCCTGTGTACTTATCAAAAAGTACCCCCCCAAAAAGCCACTTCAATTTAGACCACATCTGCATTCTTGGTTTACAAATACAGTAACTATTAACCAGCATGAGTATATTCAGATATGCTCTTAACACACTGAGTTTTTTGATCTCTAAACATTCAACTATTTTCCACTTTTTAAGAGATGATTTATCCAAATTTCAGGAGCAAGACGACCATATTATTGCTAAAACCACTTTCTAGATGGATGCAAACTGCATTTCGTTGCCTTGCACTTGTAACGTGTCCAATGAAAATAAAGTTGATTTTTATGCTATTACTGCTCTACAGGCAGTTTTTTTATTTATTTATTCTATTAATGTCATGCCCCACCTTCTTACCTCTCAGGTTTCTCCTTAGTACCCGAGGACCTTCCCAACTCAGGAGCTGCTGTCAATATTCTTACTCCATTTGCCATTCTCTTACAACAAGTGTCTAATTTAGCGAATCTTGAATTTGTAATATGAAATGTCAAAAATAAGCTTTAAATTTCAACTTATAAGAATACGAAAGAGGAGTCATTTAAATGTGCAGAAAAAGCAAAATGTGAAGATCTACAATTACCATCTGATGACAAAAATGCTCAAAAGCTTCAAAACACCAAACGGACCGTGAAAAATATTGCTGTGTCAGCATTTATGCATGAACTTACATCCTGCCACTGAGCTTCGGCATCCTTGGCAGCAACGCTACACTTCCTTCTGTTGTCTTGATTCCACAGTCTTGTCAATCCGGTGTCCTGACTTTCATCATGACTAGTGTTTGCATCAGGAGCCTTTCGCACAGGGTACACCATGGGGATGTCACTGAGAGATTTGCTCCTGGTTCAGACACACGGGAGGCAAGGCACTTAAACAATGATTGATGACATTATATGATTACACTGCAGCTTCATATTGCATGAAAGTGACACTTCTGAGCACCACGTAGCAGGGTATGCATGGTAACAGCCACATTGCTTGCATGCACACACACACACACACACACACACACACGCTTACACATGTATACACAACAGGGTGCAGTTCTGCCAGCTGTAGCAGCACATTCTGCAATGAAACGACAGAATCCTCAGCGAAGTGCGAGCACGAATGTAGCATGCCAGTCAAGCAATGCAAAAGTATTGGAAAAAAAAAAAAATGTAACAGATGTTGCTGTCTGGATAACACAACAGTCATGACTCATAACAGGTAATAACACTGCTCTGGGCAACAGAGGATGTCATGTATGACATTCAAATAACTTACAGCAGCATTTAGAAGGTGGTCTATCAAAACAATGACATAATCTGATGGGAGGAACCAAGACTGATTACAAACAGTCCTGTCATAAATTCCACTGTCAAGCCTGTGCCCAGAAAATTAATAGAGGTGATGTGCACCACACGCTCCACCTTCATGAAAAGGGAAACTATTCTGGTGGCATTATTTTGGTTCTTTACAACCTGAATGCAAACAAAAGCATACCTGGATGAAGCAGCAATAAAGCAGTCACGTCAAAGCGGCCTCAAACATTTTTGCTACGATTTTGTGTTTAAAACTTTGGAACTTACCAAATCCAGCCAGGATTGACCTGAACTGGTCTCTCAGGCTTGACCTGGGTTTGACTGGCTCTAAAGAACCAGAGAAACAGACATGAAGACTGAAGAACATTGTGTGCCTACATGTAGTGGACCTGGTTTGATAAAGCATCCAGCAACATGCTGCATAACATAAATAAAAAAAATAAATTAAAAAAAAAAGTGGTCAGGATAAGAGGTTAGACCACAGAACACAAAGAGGTGCTGTATGAATGAGACCATGTTTTTGTAATACACACGACTTCAAGACCACAGCCACTCAAACCCATCTCACACACACACTAACACACACCAGACAAAATGTTTTTGTACTGCATATAAAATACTCCACGCAGTTTCTTGACCTGTGGCATCATACTTTATTTTTCAAAAGCGATGACATTCACACAGTAAACTGAAAAAAAAAAAAAAAAAAAATTGAAGGCACAGCTCATGTTATAAAGAATGTGAACAAACTAACAAATGCATCACTCAGCAATGTGGCAGATACAACATTTGGGTGGTTTTAAAAAAAACCCAAAACAATGATCTTGATAATTTCATACAATAAATGAGAAAACTGTGCATGTTTTAACATCTTCTCATTAGCTGGATATTTGTAAATGTGTGGAAAGGCTTCAATCCAGTTTGTGGTTAGGATTGTTATGATCGTGTGCTTGTTATGTACGGCTCTTCAAGACAGCTGCAAAAGTTCAGGCTTGTGTTCAGGCTTCTGGGGCTCTCCAGATACGAAGTCAACGTCAAACTCTTCTGCAAAAGCCAAGGCTTTACGGCTACAGTCAAAGAAAAGAACAGCAAATATATAAAATGTGTGCAACACAATTAGCAGCAGACCTTATAGACACAGGTCTTACAATGAAGGATTAAAAACGGGATTAAAAAAATATACACTGCAAAATCATAGATCAGCTTTAAATTACATTATTATTCTTGCAAACTACTGCTAGCTAATTCCTTGTGCTTAGCAAACTAATATTTAGTTTGCTACAGCTGCCATATAAATCCACCGCTGCGTCACACTTTTGGTTATTTTAGCATCAGATCTTCATGTTAGAGTTTAATGTAAGTAAAAACTAAGCTCAAGCCAGTAAAGGCAGCCATTATTTTATTTCTGCTTTGCAAAGCAATCCATGAATTATTTCCAGCTTTAAGTAGTACAATACTGCAATTTTACCATTGTTTTGTATTAGTTTTAAGCATATTTCTTTGTTAACACTGCTTTGAATGATAAAAAGAGACAGACCTCAGGCGCTGCATTTTATGGTACCAGGGACGTCTTTGAGAGCCAAGGTAGATCCTGCGTACACGAACCTCCTCTTCAGGTGTCCAATATTGGGGTAAGAAGCGGTCATAATGCAGATTGGCAGATGTCTGATGAAGTGTCTGCTGCATTCGTCTAAAATGCAAGTCGTCTAGCACTGGGTCTGCCTCAGTATAATCATCCTCCGAGTCTTCCTCACACAGAGCTTGCAGGAAAAGCTCTTCAGTGGCACACTCAGGAGAACAGATAGTGAAGTGGCATTGAGGAGACGGAGGGGCATCTGCAGTGCTGCAGTAAACAGTGATATATCCAAATCTACGTTTAGCCACAGCCAATAGTGATCATAGATAAATTAGCTGGAATGAGCTTGAATGGAAGCGGCTCCAAATTTTACCAAGCAGACATTTGATTAATGCCTAAAAGCAAATCACTCTTTAGTTCTTGAGGATATTGTTAGATTTACAAAATTACTTTAGTGATTCTTTTTTGAAGCATTCAAACTTTTGGTGTCTGGCAAACTGTGAGCACATGTGCTGTAGTTAGATTGTGAGATTTTAAACCCTAAGCTTAAATATGCCACAAAAACAGTGCTAATAAAAAGCCAGAGAGGCCTATTAGCTTATTTTAGGGTATTGCTTATGTTAAATAAAATAAGATACAAAGCATTAAAGCATTTTTATTTTATTTTTTAAAGACAGCCTTAATAAACAGAGTAGGCCTTTATAGAGGATGTCTCCCTTTGTGACAACTGTACTGTGGAGGTCTTATTAAAAACAAGTCAACCAGTTTGGAGAATTTCACTCCTCAAAACTTAGTTGCAAAACTTCTCAAAGAGTGGATGCTATAAAGCAAACTTTTGTCAGTTACTTCGTACCTATTAGCTGAGGCTGTGTGATGCATGTATAAAACATCCATAAACTATACGCTTTATAGACAACCATGGCTTTTAATAGCCAACATGGTGATAACCCAAGTGCTACAACTGAGCCTTTCAAATGCAGAATACAGAGAGCAAGTCTATGAATTAGCACAAGAACATAGTTTCAAGCACAGAGGTTCCATCAGGGCAAGCAAAGCAAATGGTGCTTTCCCTGTGAGTTCTAACAAAAACACCACGCATCAGTTAAAACCAAGTGAAAGCAATCTCCTTTTACCACAAGCAGCACTCTGTCAAAACCTTTCATCCAGTTGCTTCCATCTTTATATTACTGCCATCTTGTCGCCACAGTTGGCTAAAGTATCTGGAGGGGGAACAACTCCACTTGCCTTCAATTTCCATGAAATCTATAACATGTCTTTAGTCTATGGGTGTGTCTGTGTCCTGTTAACAGTGGACTGAGCAGGGAAACAAGCAGCTTTTTCTTGTTTTTTGCAAATTGAGGACAAGCTGCCTGCGGCTCTGCTTTCGTTGCTTTTGAGATCAGCTACCATTTGCCTGTTGTGTGGAAACAGCTAGCATTAGCAAGTAAACAAGCACTTATGATAAATTCTCTCTTAATGATACCCTTGACCAGCATCCAATAAAAGATCATTTTAATCACTTCTTTAGCAAGCAATGCAATGCTAATGGAGGGGGAACATGGCTCCTGCCATGTCTGATTTAATAAAACAGGCAAACTGAACAGGTGCTGGCTCCACCAGCACTTTCAGATTAACATGTATGACATCATCTCTGCTTGCCCTTCTGTAAAAGTCACTGCACATCAATGATTTAAACCAACACTCTTGTCAAAGACTACAAAATGTAATTTACTCATAGAAAAATCGGATCAGAATTTATAGCAAATGACCCGTGTTGATAGTTTGGGAACTGCTATCATGAACGCAGAGGTTCACTTGCCA